CCTCTTGAATTTATGCCGAAAGGAAGAAAATAATCTTCGCAACTACATTATAAACCATACTTCCAATATCCTTTCAACTATCGCATCATTAGATATAAATTATACAGCTTTGAATTTACGAAGCCCTAGAATCCCGATTAGTGAAGCAGATGATGGCACTCGATCAGAAATACGGAAAAATAAACCTTTACATGGACGATTTTATCACTCATTGATGGATGTAGGAGTGGACGCAGAGGCGTCATTGACATGGCTGAAGAGTGGAAGTATCTATCCGGAAACAGAAGGATTCTTGTTTGCTATTCAAGAGCAGGTAATAGCCACAAAAGCATACAGAAAACATATATGTGGAGAGAGCATCGATGACTTATGTCGCTTATGCAAAAAGGCAGTTGAATCAATACAACATGTAACATCAGGATGCACAATACTTGTGGGTAAGGAATACCTGCAGAGACACAACAATGCAGCTAAGGTAGTGCATCAAGCTATGGCTCAGAAAATGGAACTCGTCGATAAGTATTGTCCATATTATAAATACCATCCAGAACCAATTAACTCCATGCGCAATGTCAAGGTGTTCTGGGATCAACCGATCCTGACGGATCACACTATCCCCCACAATAGACCAGACATTCTTATAATAGATAAAGGTAAGCAATCTGCGTTTATCATAGAGATTGGAGTTCCTTCTGATGATAACCTACACAAGGTAGTAGCTGAAAAAAAGAGAAAGTACGTAGAATTGGCTGAAGAGATCAAACAATTGTATCATTTAAAGGAAATCCGAATTTTGCCAATTGTATTCTCGTGCAACGGACTGATACCGGAAGAAACTGTATCTTCTCTGCGACAACTAGAACTACCATCTCAGAGGATCGAAAGAATGCAACAAGCGGTGTTGTTGGGAACAGCAAATATAGTCAGGAAGTTCACAAATATTAAATAATTATGAAAATATACAAATGTAATTTTTGGCTGACCTAATAGATCCCTAACTATTATATATAAACACCATTGTATATGTGGAAAATAAAGAGATAATAATAATAATAATTCTACAGCAAATTAAATGATAGCTCGATTGACAAGGAAATATCCATTGAATGGCTGAAAGCTGGAAAGATATTCTCCGAGACAGAAGGATTTCTGCTCCCCATCCAAGACCAAGTTATTGCTACTAGATCATATAGAAGGCATGTTCTTAAAGACGCAACAACTACGGATAAATGTTGATTATGCTCAGCGACGCTGGAATCAATCCAACATGTCACAGGTGGGTGTGGAGTGTTGGCTGGCACAGAGTATCTCCAGAGGCATAACAATGTGGCTAGAATTTTTCATCAGGCTCTGGCGGTGAAGTTCAACTTGTTAGATGACAAAATTATTATAAGTACCACCCAAAAAAACTCCTCCAAAAAGGTAGTCTCAAGCTATACTGGGATGAATCGATTATAACTGACCATACTGTGCATCACAATAAACCAGACATCCTTCTGATAGACATGAGAGAGAAAAGACCAGAGCTTATTGATGTCGGGATCCCCAATGATAATAATATAAGCTCCACTGTTGGAGAAAAACTGAAAAAATACCAGGAACTGGCAATCGAACTGAAGGAATTGTATCATTTGGGGAACGTCACCACCACTCCAATTATAATATCCTCCAATGGATTGATACTAAAGACAACAGTGGCAGGCACGATGGGATTAAAATTATCTCTTGAAGTGCTGAAAGAGGCTCAACACTCAGTTCTCTTGGATACGGCACGTATTGTTCGAAAGTTTTTAAATATCTAAAAAATAAGGCCTATTTGGACTTATGGGGTTGAGCTATGGGGCTCCACCAAGCCTTCAAATTCCTCTTGCATACAGTCCTTGCAATCCAAAATCCTTCGTAAAATCCTCAATGCTCCTTACTTTGTTAGAAATAAAATTATCCATAATGACCTTAATGTTCCTTATGTATCAGATTTGGCCCAATCCAGATATCTGTCCTTCCATAATAAACTTCATAACCATCCCAACCCTCTTGTCTCTAACCTTGCTTCCTATTCGATTCCTGATAACCCTCCGAGGCGTCTGAAAAGAAGATGGCCACGTGATCTTCTAATATAGACATATTATTAGAGTGCTACCAATGAGTAGTTTCTCAACATGTGTTCCATGTCTTTATACCAATGTGCAAATTTACTAGATGTATTTTTTTGTATACAGTTGTAAATATCATTTAAAATAAATAAAAAAATAAATAAAAAAATAAAAAAAAATATCTAAAAAGTAATAGATATTAATCTGAAGTGGCTGGACTTCTGGTCTCCCACCTCAGATACTTACCCCGCAAAGCGAGAATAAAGAATGGAAATCCTCTTTGACATTGATATACAGCAGGTGAACAATACCGTTGTACTTCAATTTTTTCTCCAATAGTCGAACAGTTCAGTCTGAATCCGCATTGGTAGTCGCCGATAATTTCCTCGGCATATTCCATGATTCGACTAGTTAAGATTAAAGTGAATATTTTTATTACAATCCGTCCCTGGGCCCTTTTTGTGAATTGGAATAAGAATAGATTCTTTCTATTCTTCAGGTAATTTCTCATTCTCCCAGATCTTTTTAACCAACAAATGTTTTAAGAAACTCCGGCCTTAACTAGTTCACTAGGAATATTATCGTTTCCCACAGCTTTATATGATTTTAATTTTCCGATAGCTACTTCAACTTCTTCTTTACTCAGTTTTTCTATTAACGGTTCAGCGCTCTGGTACTCAAAAGGAGGACACAGATTATAATTTCCCGTATTTAAAATATTGTCGAAATGTTTCTTAAACTTATATAATATGTCTACCGGATGGTCAGAATATTGTTATTTTCATCCCTAATTCCAGACATGACTGACCCTAAACATTTACGTGACCTGTTTATACCTTTGTACATGTCTCTTATGTTATTTTTGATTCTATTAGTTTCTATTTCTATTAGTTTGTTTTTAAGATCCTCCCTTTTTTTTAATTTTGAGCAATTTTGTTGTTTCATTCTTTGAGGTTCGGAAGTATTCCAGATTGTCTTCGCTAGTATTATTTAGAGCTTTTAATTTAGTGACTTTTATTTTTTCGCACATGTTTAAGCTATCTTCATCAAACCACGGTTTGTTATTCTTATTTTCCGTTTATCCTAGACACAAGTTTCCAACCGCTTTAATATTATCCCTGATCTCTACCCATAACTTGTCAATATCCTCGCGGTCCTCGTCAGAAGGTTCTAAAGCTTCAAACCTATTCTTAACATCTAGCTCGAATTGAGTACTAATTGATGGATATTTTATTTTTTTCCAAATTAAAATGGTTTTCTTTTCTCTTTTTTATTAAGTTTTTGTCGGAGTTTTGCGATTACTAATTCATGATTCGACCCAAGTTCTGCTCCGCAATAAGATCGTACAATAATTATACTGCTTTGCCAGCTATATTTTATCAAGACATGATCGATTTGATTTCGTGTTTGTGAATCCAGTGATGTCCAGGTATATTTATGAATATACTTATGTTTAAATATAGTACTTTTAATTATCAGGTTCTTAGATATGGCAAAGTTGATCAGATGGATCCCATTATCATTACTATATTCGTGCAAACTTTCTTTACCAATCGTCGGGACATAAACTTCTTTCCTCCCCACCTTTGCCCACCGTCCCCTGCAATTATTTTCATCGAGTTTTGCGGCAGTTTATCATAAATCCATTTGAGTTTATCGTAAAATTCACATTTGACTTCATCGTCACTGTCTTCGGTCGGACAATGTATGTTTATTAACGTGATTTTAAACCAATGCCCCTTTAATATAGCTACCGAAATTGTATCACTAAAGAATTGTACGTCATTCAAAGAGGATAGAAATCTATTCCTAATTAGAAACCTGGTACCAAAATAATGATTCCCGCTTCCTCTGTACCAAATAAGGTAGTTTTCTTCCCTCATCAAGCCCTCAACTGGCCAGCGACCTTCTTGCAGAGCCACAATATCCAAATAGTACTTGTTAACCTCATTCGCGACCGATTTTAACCCACCTGCTGAATTCCAACTCCTCACGTTCCACGAACCAATAAGTAAATCCCTATTTTTCAACTTTCGCCAGGAATCCCCTAAAGCATTGCCCACCCGGAGACCCAAACGGGGGACTAGTTTACCTTCAGATAATAAGCGTTTTACCTTAGGGAGATCCATGACTATTTGTGGTGTATGGTGAACTAAAGATATGTGAGTAGGGCGTTCAATCCTACATCACACCCTCCTGGAAGTCTGGAGGGACCCTCTCATTGTTGATCAGCAAGTCCATCGGACTTAGCCGGGAGGAACTTCCAAGGAATTTCTTCTGACCAACCCCACATCTGCCACCCGTGGGACGCTCCCATAAGCGGTAATGAGCCTGTGCGAGGTTTAATAATTAATAAAAATATTTATTCTTCAGATTATGTGAATACGACTATATTCTTTATTGCATATGTAAATACAAGCTCATTTATATGTCACAAGAGCAGCAAAAAAAAAAAGTTCCCAGTTTTTTGAAAAATTCCTGTACAATTCCAATTTTTTTCCTGGTTCGAGAAATTCACAGTCACTGAAGACCCTGAATAAGCAAGGGTATTCCCTAAAACATGATTGTCAAAATTTGGTCATCTACAAAGTGATCTCAGTCCACAGTGTTTTCTTTTTGAAATCTTTAAAGTAGGTACATCTCCATTGCTTGTCAGTTTTTAATAAATAGAAATATGGCCAGTAACACTTATTTTTGTTGGAATGATCCTGTTACTTATACAATACTTCACTTAATCCTCTGATGTAAAATGGTAGATCCAAAATTTTAATAACTTTTAGCAATAAATATGAGGAGAAACATCACTTATAAAAATGCTGCAATGTTTGAGCTTATGTTTTTTTCATTATCTGTATATCGTGGCAAAAATTATTGAAGGGCTAATAACTAAGAATCAAATTAACTTACTTCACCTGTTGGCGAACTTCTTCATCAGATAATTTTGAATTCCATTCAGAGCTAAACATTCTCTGTGTTTCCTGCCACTTTATGTCTGGGAAAACAAAATTATACTTACAGATAAATCGTATAGTGTTAAATAACACACATAAGCACAAGTGATAAAAAATTAAATAATAAAATAAAAGAAATAAGAATGACCTGATAAAATCATTTCTGTTAAAACTAATCAATTAATCTTAATAAATATCAACAGGTTAACGATCAATAAAAGAAAATCTATCGTAATTTTTTAAGTCTAAAAAACAATTAATTTAAAGTATAACTGCCAACACGATTCCAAACTTAAAGTTGTATTTATCATGAAAAATGTTTAACAGATTAGTTTTGGCATTATATCAAACCAAAATTATGAAACACTGCTTCTGAAGAAAATCATAATGTAAATGATAAATATTTTACTTCTAAGAAAACTGAATTAAGGAGATCAAGAATTTTTTTTTTTTAAATATTCTGTAAGAAGAAATTTAGTCAACTTATGAACTAAATGTGTGGTTTCGCTACATTAATTTTAAATAAATTACATAGAAAAAGGATGAAACAAGAGAATAATTCATTTCGATGCACATCATTCGTTTATAAAATCATATATGACACTGACAACATTGTAATAGAATCAGGCTTAATAAACTCGGAATAACAACTTTATTGAACTGAAGAGTTGCTCATAAAATAATTATAACATAGCAGTTAAAAAACAAAATTAAATCTCATGACATAAATAATCGTCTAAGATTCTTGTATCACTACATTTACCCCTAGTTACAGATGAAGTTGCTAAGATAACTAGGAGGTTGTCATACTGTATTGATCTTCTTATGGGAGCTGGCTAATACTCCAGGACTCTTGAGAGATTCAGGAATTATAATCTGCTGGTTTCATTGATTCTCTTTCACTCCAATAAATTTTAATAGAAATTGAATGAATGAAACTCCTAATAAAGGCTTTATTGAACTAAAGAACTGAACATAATAAAATAATTATAACATAAACATTTAACAAAAACAAATTCACATGATTCAAGAGCCTATGTATGATTCCTATATCACTAAAAACATTAAACAAATTAATTAAATATATTGCAATCAAGTTAAAGACAGTCTAGCTTCTGAAAGAGGGCTACAGAAAAGAACACAAACATAACAACTTACTGCAACAATATAATAAATATGTTGATGCAAAAAAAAAAAAGAAATAGACATTTATTTAAAACCAACTCACTTTTTATAGGAATTCTCTGGAAACTCTCGTCCTCCTTCTCTTTCAGCAACCTGGAATCACTCTTGGACTCTGACATTTTTTATTAACACAGATAATCACAATCAGAGGTATCACTTCCCGGCAGCTTTAAAATCCAAAGAAGTAATCATGAAGTTTGAAGTGATAAGAAAAATTACTTAGCAACCTAGCGGCATCTTGTTAACTTTTTCAGTTTTACGTTAAATTTTAGTGCTGTGCCGGGAATATAAATCAAGAGTTCCAGATATAAATTTGCCCCGCTCCCCCTCAAATAAGAATCCAACCTCGTCCTTTATAAAGTGAACAACAAAATTTTGTATATCCTATGGACTATTTCCGACCTATAACTTATAGCTGTTTGTTGGTCAAAAATCCACTTTCTTTTAGAGTAAATGAAAAAAATAAAACCTGGTCGGCTGGGGTGGAGTGGGTCCCTTTTGTGACCCAGGCGCAAGAGTTATGACGACTTCCACTGCAGGAAGAAAACCGGTCGACGAACAATCACTCCTTGTATGGAGATTTATATGAATTTTCAAGTCAGAGATGAACCTGGGAAATTTGGGTGAGAGGTTTAAGAGAAAATTAAGTCCATGTACAACTAAGATGGTAGACTGCGTGCTTATGGTGTTGTCAAGTAGTGACCGTGCGAATTACGCTAAGAACTACCGATCGTCTGTTATTGGTCGCTAAAAAATGTTTGATGCAAAGTGGCAACTTTAAAAATAATCGTGGAGAAAAAAAGGAAGGTTAACAGTGACATTTTTGGGTTTTTCAATAAGAAATTTAAAATGATTAGGGGCACCCCTCTTTCCATTTATTTAAGAATTCGACTCAAGGAAAGGCTTATTTTTCTAGGTATGGGTGATGTTTTTGTTTTGAAAGACGATTTTATGAGAACAGTGGTGCTATTGCGAAATTGGAAGCTTTTTATAGTGGTGGTAAAAAGTATTTTGTTTTTATAAGATTTGTTGATATTTTTATACATTTTCAGGGCCAAAGGAAGTTTTTGGAATGTAGTGTGAAGAGAATGGTGTTGGGATATGATAGGAAAAGTAGGAGGAATGCAGTTGGTCAGGAACTACAGGATAAGATGAACAGGCTTTTGACTTTACTACAGACAGATTTTTAAGGATTTTCGGTACTTTTCGTCTAGGGGGCCGCTACTGACTGCTATCTGCCAATGTTTATAACCTGAACACTGATAACTCCCATAAAGCACTGATAAGCCTTCTTTTACTTCATATCTTCGTATTATTGTATTAAATTCGTATTATTGAAAGTGTAAACAGATACAAAAACAAATTTAATAACAAAAAAAATACTTTTATTTGACGACACATGTATTAATGAAATAATAAAAAAAAACACTTTAAGAAGATATATACATATAAAATATCAAAATGAAATAATAAAAACACATTTAAAAGAACATATTTACATAGAAAAGAAAAAATATAAAACGAAATCGGTTTTATAAAAAGATAAAACATTCATCTGTTTCTCGACAAACTCCACCAAACATCCACTGCTGAGATAAAACTCTCCCCACATGATTTTTTCGTTTAGAAAAAAGACTTTCTTTTACTTCAACCACTTTACCAGGTCCTCCAATTTTTTTTCTTGGCCTGTATAACATATGTTGAATAGTTTCAGCTGGTCTTTGGCCCACTTCATCGTTGTCAAGCTATGGGACCATCCATAAATCAATTTTAAAGCTGTTAAAAACGAAATCCTCGAGCCCTCCAACCATGTTCCTTTCCTTATTGAAAGTTTTGTGTCATAAGTCCTACGAAAGCATCTCCATTTGGCCTTCCTGGTTGACTTCATTCGATGACCTCGATCACACGTCGATTCACGTCGGCAAGTAATCCAACATTTTAAAAATATTGAAGTGCCTGTTCTTCTGAAGGCGTCAAATTCCATATTCTAAGAAGATCCATAATATGACGAAAAGAAACACAAAGGGGCCACAAACTAAAAAAAAAAGAGAAATAAACACAAAAGGGTCAAAAACTAAAAATAAACACAAACGGACCAAAAGTAAACAATTTAATAAGTGAACGTAATAAGGGAATAACTGAAAACTAAACAATGCAATAACTGAAAGGTTTGGCAGGATAAGAAGAGGGAGGTTATGTGACGTGACGTTAGATAAGATAGATAAGAGGTGAGGTTTCAGTCCGGCCTGCTAGACAAAAAGTACCGGATTTTCCATCTGGAGGTAGGATCCAAGATTTGAAAAAGGAGTAATGAGCCGTGTTTCCCGTTTGTCTGGAATTTCTTAAGCCGCGTCTCTTCTTTCCACCAACTCCGTGACTTCGGGATTAATCTAGAGAGCAGTGGGACGTAAATAAAAGTAGAGTTGGTAATTATTTAGGTAAGTTTACACGCATAACCTGTGTGGTCCACAATCACTTCAGTCACACTTGTTCATGGATTCCCGAATGCATCCGGGGTTTTCCGAATGACTATTTTCAGCCTTTCATCAACACATGGCCGAAGTGATTGTGAACTACGCGAAACCCGTGCGGTCCTCATCTAAATTATTACCGTAGAATTATTTAGGGGTCCGTAATGAGTTAGGATTAAAAGAGGATTGGAGGAAGACACTCCTTCATTTCATCAATATGAATGGGAAAGGATGAACAGGAATAGACAGATTCTAAGGATTGGGATAGTGATTCGAGATAAGAAATACGTTTTTCAAGGCCACTGAGTCGAAGAGGTGCCAGAGAATTTGCTTAGCAGTGAACTTAGGAATTGGGATGTCATAAGAAATCTTGATTAGATCATGATATCTAAGGAAAGATATTGGATTCTGAAAGGAAGATATAAGATTCGTAAGGAATCTATTATAAAGAGTTAGAGCTACGTACTTGAGAACTGATTGTGGTGAGTGGGTTGAAAACCAAAAAAAAAAAGGCCAAGGGTGTGGATTAGATCTCCAAGGTATGATTTACAGGGGGAGTAGGAAGACAAGCCGGTTATAAAGTCGCTGGCTATTATTACATTATTGTGTAAGATAACTTAGTTAAAAAGAGAGAATTCTAACGCAGAACGATTTCGAACTTGGGGAAGGCTGAATATATGAACATGGAGAAGAGAAAATGAATCAGAGAAAATTTCTATAAATATTAATTCTAGGAGTGTTGATAGAAATAGACATGGGGATATTAATAATTTAAGTTTTGAAGGATGTCATAAACCTGCTAATTTTCCACCCTGAACTTTCAACTTACAGGATCCACCACCCGTAACAGATTCAACCCTATAAGGACCTTCATACTAAGGATTTAATTTAGCTGCTAGATTATCCGCCGTCGAAGATAGTTGGAAAGTTTTCTTGAGAACCAGATCATTCGGACGGAAACAATCCTTTCGACGTCTCAAATTAGACTGAGTGAGACTTGCCTTTAGGGAGCTTTTCTCGGCTACATGATGAACTTCGTACAGTTTACTCATTTTAACAGCCCAAGGAACCTGTTCATCTGCGCGAGCCTCGAGAATATCTTCTTGGACAGCCTGATGTAGAGGCCTTAGCTCTCTACCAAAATTCAAAAAGGCAGGACTGAACTTTGTTGAATTTGGAATGAAAGAGTTTAAAACAAACTGAATCTCCCGTAGTTGCTCATCCCAGCGTTCGTGTTTCTTCCCTGGGTACGTGACAATAAGTTGCTTAATGTTGCGATTTGCCAATTCCGTGGGATTCGCCTGCGAATGGTGAAGAGGAGTGAGTAGTCTCTCTCTCGATCCTGAACTCCTTAGCTACCTCATTTATGAGATTAATGACAAAGTTCTTCGCATTGTAGAAAATTGATTTCTGGGGTGCGCCATACCTATACAGTAAGAGCGACTTTAGTTTCGATATAATAACTGAAGAGGTTGCTTTTCTAATAGGACACAATACTACCCATCTACTAAATAAATCCATAAAAACAAGCAGATACACATTTCCTTTCGAGCTTCTAGGATAGGGACTCATAATATCGACTGACACAATCTCCCATGGATGCTCATTATAGTGAGGGTACATTAATCCAGGAGGTGGTGTGGTATTGGGTTTGACCTTCTGGCATACCTTATATCGAATTCGAATCGGGACTGGTAGATAAGACTGTGAATGCGGAAATTCTCGATAACACACCGGCTACTGTATTGAGTTTACCCTTACGGTATCCCACCTTGTAATCGTACAGTTGCAATCGAAGAGCCCATCTAGCCAAATGTCCCGAAGGGTTTTTCAAATTTAGTAACCATTTAAGACTGGCGAGGTCCGTAATAACCGTAAAAGAATAACCGCCTAACTAGTGCCGATTTTTTTCAATAGCAAACATAATTGCGAGGCATTTCTTTTCGGTCACAGTATAATTTCTTTCAGCCGGACTTAAAAGTAAGAGAGAAAAAAGCGATGATTCTTTCTTCGCTATTTTGTATTTGAGTTAAGACCGCTCCAAGAACTTATATTGGTGCTTCCGTCAAAGCTGACTTTAGAGCTTTGAAAGAGGCTTCCTGCTTTCCTGAACAGATCCATTTAGCTTTGCGTTTAAGCAAGGATGTAAGTGTAAAAAAAATCTTTTATAAATCACCTGTACCATTCTGTCATTTCTAGGAATCTTCTAAGCTGTCCAACATTGTTGGGTGGAGGCATCGAAGTAACGAAACTAACATTAACGGATCAACGCTCATGCAATCCCTATTAATTAGATATCCCAAGTATCTCACTTCACTTTAGCCAAATTTGCATTTTGCATGGTTGATAGGCAAACCTGAAGCCTAAGTCGCCGGAACATTTCTCTTAGCATATCCAAATGCAATTCAAAAATTGGTTCCAGACCAAAATGTCATCAAAAAATACTTCCACGTACGGTTAGAGTTCGGCTGCAAATATTGCATCGGCTAGCCTCTGAAAGGTAGCCGGTGAGTTGGTTAGCCCAAATGGCATAACTTTAAACCTGAATAATCCTCTGCCCGCCACTGTAAATGTATTAATGTCTTAACTAGATTCGTCTGCAAGTTGTACTTGCAAAAATGCCTGCCTGAGGTCAAATTTAGATAAGT